ATTTTTAGTAGAGATGGGGTTTCACCATGTTGACCAGGATGGTCTCGATCTTTTGACCTCGTGATCCACCCGCCTCGGCCTCCCAAAGTGCTGGGATTACAGGCTTGAGCCACCGTGCCCAGTGTAATTTTTTTTTTTTAATCGTAGATATGGGCTTTTCTCCATGTTGGTCAGGCTGGTCTTGAACTGCCGACCTCAGATGATCCGCCCACTGTGGCCTCCCAGTGCTGGGATTACAGGCATGAGCCACCATGTCCGGCTGCTTGGTCCTGTTTTCATGTGTTCACAGTCAAGGGCAAAAAGAGACAACTGGGCTAAGCAAGTGGCTCATGCTTGTAATCCCAGTGCTTTGGGAGGCTCATGTGGGAGGATTGCTTGAGGCTATGAGGTCAAGATAGCTACCAAATATTAAAAAATTACCTGGGCATGGTGGCATATACCTGTAGTCCTAGGTACTTGAGAGGCTGAGGTGGGAGGATGCCTTGAGCACAGGCATTCAAAGCTGAAGTGAGCTAAAACTGCACTCCAGCTTGGGTTACTGAGATCCTGTCTCTAAAAAAATGCTAATAAATTTAAAAATAAAAGTAAAATAGGCTGGGGGTGGTGGCTCACGCTTGTAATCTCAGCACTTTGGGAGGCTGAGGCAGGCGGATCACCTGAGGTCAGGAGTTCAAGACCAGCCTGGCCAACATGGTGAAACCCGGTCTTTAAAAAATAAATAAATGGCCGGGCGCGGTGGCTCAAGCCTGTAATCCCAGCACTTTGGGAGGCCGAAGCGGGTGGATGACGAGGTCAAGAGATCGAGACCATCCTGGTCAACATGGTGAAACCCCGTCTCTACTAAAAATACAAAAAATTAGTTGGGCATGGTGGTGTGTGCCTGTAATCCCAACTACTCAGGAGGCTGAGGCAGGAGAATTGCCTGAACCCAGGAGGCGGAGGTTGCGGTGAGCCGAGATCGCGCCATTGCACTCCAGCCTGGGCAACATGAGTGAAACTCCGTCTCAA